TCAGTTTTTCGATTCGCGATTCTTTATTATTATAGTCTTTTGGATAGTGCTGGCCCCCAGGTGGTGCGACAGGATTGTAATGGAAGGTGTGCAATTTTTGATCTGATCTTTTGTGTTTTCTGCTTCTGTGGCTCCGTCCTTCGTGTATCAACTGTGGTTCTGTACCCGAGATTTCGGCAATATGCATAGACTTTGATCCGACTACATGGTTACTAACCAAGGTTCCGGTGCTGCCGATAACGATTGTCCAGGCCGTTGCTCCAAATACGTCTTTGATTTCATCTTGCGGCTATTCTCGAAGTGTGTTGGAGTGTTACTCATCGCTGATATAAGCTAGTGACTGGGTGGGTAGTGCAGGAGGTGAATGTATCTGCTTTTTCTGCTCGTTACGTCGCATACCTAGGTAGCATGCTCGTGCGTGTTGCGACAAAATAGCAGGCGGAAGAGTGATTTGCCATGCTGCTGTCCCCGCTGGTTGCTACTTGTCACGTTCTAGACTCGGTGTCTGGAGTCGGGGTTCCTAGTTAGTATTATTACAAATTGGTGCAAGGACTTTGTCCCGACTACATGGAAACCTCAAAGCCAGAGTATCGCTCATGTCCGATACACCACTCTGTGTATCATGTTGCTCGGGCCACTCGCTTCCGCTCTCCGGCCAATCCGAACTCACACATCTCACTTCTCCGGAGATGCCTTCCCATCCACAGCACTACCGCGTGGCACATGACTTTATACCCTGGCTGTTGAGTCGATCTGACACCACGTTACTTATCTTGCAACGTACGAGTCAACAAACATTATACCAAATCAGGTGATATCTGGAACGTTCCATGGGAAGTCCCTGGTATGAAGGAGTGCCATGCCGGGATGGGTCATGATGGGATGCACTGTTGATCGGAGGATTATAGGAGATCTGTCGTAAAGCAGGGGAGGTCAAGGCACGGATGGGTGGGGGAGGGGGTGAAGGTCTCTTGTTGGACGTCGTAAGCTTGGTCGGGTGGGGGCGGCGGAGGGGAGGCAGAGGGGAGGTAGTGGCCGTCTCATTCAGATATGAGCTGCGATGGTCAACTGCTTGCACTGCCAAAGATCCCGACAAGATGCACTGTCGATCAGATGATGTATGAGGCATCTGCTCTCAAGAATTCCTAGGTAGGAATCCGAGGCGTGGTTGAATACTGTAGAGCAAGTGTACAGAAGCCAGAACCATTCAGCGTTTGAGCCCCTGGCATGATAGACCACCGGCGGCAGGATGGATCTCGATGAGTGGCGCTGTTGATCGGAGAATAATATGGGAAATCTGTAGTAAAGCATGGGAATTCCAGGCGAAATGCCATCGTTCCACCTCAAACGGGCCGAATGCAAATCATGCCGGCTGTCATGGGTCGACGTGGCTGGGGGGCGGGATGACAGAGTTTTGACGCCCTTATGTCGTTGCAAAACTGGTGTTGAGAGATGCAAATGAATATGAATAGCATGCTGTAAGTCGTGTCGAAAAGTGGACGTTAGCATTACTACTACTGACAGGACCCAGACGATGTCGCGAGTCATGCTAGCGCGAGGCTAAGCGAATGACGCTGGCGGTGCGGTGAAGTCTACTGATCTCATCGTGAGCGTTCGTACGCGACAGTGCCGACGCTGCCTTGCACGCCATCCAACCGCCCGCCTCCAGGCTTCCGCCGCATCTGAACACGTTGCGCATACCCTTCGACAGCGCCATCGCCTGCCCGCCCACCCATTGGTCGCCGGTACCCCGGATTTCTCCACCAAAACTTAAACGACCCGACTCATCTTGCTCCGCCGAATGTCTGCCTCGCGGCGCCCTTCTTGATCACGACGCCGCTGCCTTCCAGAACCACCTTCCAGGCGTTTGTATTTGCGCCCTTTGCTGGAACGCCCCCCGATTCTTTGTGCGAGTCAACGAACTGTTTCGAACAATCACCCCGTGGTGTAGTAAAACTGCGACAACAAGACAACAATCTGGACTGCGCCGCTACATAATCGTGACGGAATCGCGCGACCTAGGGCCTACGATTAAACTCCATCATTGACTTGGAGTGTCTGTTCGCACTTCCACGGCTTCGCCTCTGCACGGAATTGACAAGGCTGATAGCCGCGCTCGAGGACCCGCGAAGAATCTTTCAGGCCGGCGGGATCACCGGATACACACAGCGGACGCACCCATCAAACATCTCCCTCGCTCCAGCCACACGAGGCGCGCGAGCACTCATGTCGAACCGCAAGCGGCGCGCGCCGGGTGCTTCACCACAGGCTCCCACTCAGCCGTACCAGCACGACATCCCCGCGACCGACTCATACATGAACTGGAACGACCCTACGGCTGGCGCAGACATGAACTTCACCGACCCGCCGCTGTACGACTACAACGGCCAGAGCATGGGCGGAGGCCATAGCCGCGTTGTGTCGCTCGATGGATACAACGACGGCGCGGAAATGGCGGGGCAATTGGTACGGCGAAACACAAACCAGCAACTTGCACCTGCGCCACGGCGGAATCAATGGGATGGATTTGCCAGTCCGACGCAACAGTGGGAGACGGTGGATGACGATGAGGAGCTGGAGCAGAAGGCGGCTATTGCCAAGAAGGATGCACAGGCGAGGCGGAAACAGATCCCGCCGTTTGTGCAGAAGTTGAGCAGGTGAGTATCTTTGTAGACTGTACCTGGAATAGCGACTGACCTTGACAGTTTCCTCGATAACAACAAAAACGAAAACCTCATTCGCTGGTCGGACGACGGCAACTCCTTCATCGTGCTTGACGAGGACGAATTTGCGAGGACCCTGATACCCGAGCTCTTCAAGCACAATAACTACGCGTCCTTCGTACGACAACTGAACATGTACGGTTTCCACAAGAAGGTGGGACTCTCGGACAATTCGATGAAAGCCAGCGAGACAAAAGCGAAAGCACCTAGCGAGTACTACAACAAGTACTTCAAGCGCGGTCGACAAGAGTTATTATGGCTGATCCAGAAGCCGAAGAATCCTGTTACCGGACCGAAGCGGAAACGGGATGAAGAAAACAAGGGCGATAGCGACGAAGACCGCAAGTACATTCAAGATACAGGGGGCGGAGGCTATGTTGAAGAAGTGGCCGTCAGAGGAAACGAGCAGATGGCCATGATCCCGCGATCCGAGTACAACAGCCTGCGGGTTGAAGTCAGGGAACTCCAGCAACAGCAAAAGCTCATCTCCAATGTCCTTACCCAGATCAAACGCCAGAATGAGGAGTTGTACTCACGAGCGACATCCTTCCAAGCGCTGCACGACCGCCACGAGAACTCTATCAATGCCATTTTGACATTCCTCGCCACTTTCTATAATAGGAGTCTAGAGGGTAACGCGAATATGAATCTTGCAGACATGTTCCCCGCGGCACGACAACAACATCACGGCAATGTCGTCGACGTCGACGACTATCCCATGCAGGAAGCACAAAAGTCACCGCAATTGCAGAGGAACAAGAAACCGCTTGCAATTCTACCAGCGCCAGCCCCGAACCAGGACTACCTCGCTCCAACGACGACAGGCCGCGCCACGACCATGAGCCCAACAGCCCGGCCACTCGCTAGTCCCATCACACGGCCTGGCAGTCGACAATCAGTGTTCAGGCCCTCAGTATCGATGAATCGCCAGCAGTCCCAGTCGTCACCATTTTCCCAACAAGCCAGAGACAGCATAACCCCCTCCCAAGTCAAACCCGACCCCGCCTCCAACCTAAACCCACTAGCCGACAACTCCGCCATCATGTCCGCCATCCAAAATGCCAATGCCACAGCAACCAACCACTCGGGCACTTCGCAACCCCCACCCTCAGACTTCGACTACGCCGCCGCTTTATCAAATTACCAAACCCAAGACGGCCACGTCCCTCTCACCCCGCAACAACGCAACGATGTCCTCTCCCAGATCGTAAACAACACGTCTGCCCAAAACACAAACAACGCGCTTACCAACCCGCATCCGCCTGAAATGGACCGCTTGCTGGGCGATCTAGCGCAGTACCAAGCGACGCAGCAACAACTAGAGATGCTACAAAAGTTGTCTGACCAGCAAAACAGCAAGATCCAACACATCCACGAACGTATCCTACCACTTTCGCCCACAGGTCAGATCTCCGGACTTGGCGAGGGCAACGATGGGTATTTCGGTAGCGCAACCGGCGACGACGGCGGCCTAGGCGAACCCGGTGGTTTCGACCTCAACATGGGCCACTTCGTCAACGACGACGATTTCTTCACCGCAGACGCGAATCCCCCCGATCAAAAAGCTACGAACGGGATTAACGGCATTAACAACAATACCAACGGCGGGGGCCTACCTGATTTCACATTCGATGCCAGTACGCCGTTTGATGTTGATCCCGCGAACGGCGATGCTGGTTTCGATTTTGCGGATGAAGCGAATGGGATTGGTGGAGAGGATCCTGGGTTGCTCGGTGTGGATGATGCGACGGGTGCGAATGGGAATGTGAACGGCGTGGGCAAGATTGAGAGTGCAGGGAGTGGGGGGAGTAGTAATAGTACTAGTCCCGCGGCGACGGTGGAGGAGGTGGAGGATGAGACGAGGAGGGGAACGGGAGGTGGGAGTGCGAGTGCGAAGAGGAGGAGGCGGTAGACGGGTGGATATGAGAGATTGTACAAAGACGAAGTGGAGCAGAGACGGGATGGGATGTTGTATTTGATTTGCGGAGGATTACGACAGTCACGACTGGATCGAGTGTTTTATCAGCCACGCGCTTTTCGCTGGCATTTTTTCTTACGGCTGTGTTCTTGTTTGCATGCACATGTCGTGTTTTTCTTCTTTCTCTTCTATTCGTAGTAAGGAGAAGGAATGTTAGATACCCCACTTCTTCACATGTTCGCGTTTGCTGGTGTTGTTGGAGATGTGGTGATTTACTGAGAGGTTCTCTCAAGTCCTGCCTCAATTCCTTGCTGAAGTCGATCGGGGTGTAGAGATGATTCATCATTATGTGTGCCCGACTATATAGGTGTAGACTGGCTGTTACCCAGCAAATCGCGCCCCGCCGTATCTCTATACCTACCCCATTCGAGATCTAGCCACTCTTGCTGTCCAAGTCCTTCAAACAAACCCATGACCTTCTCGCTGGGTCTCCAGTCGCCAACCTGCCACTGCACCACCGGTGGTCTTGGTGCTGCAGCAGCATCGCCGTTCTTCTGCGTCTCACTACCACGCCCAGCAATGAACTTGACACCCCATCTATGCCCCTTCTTCATCCTTAAACCATAATCCTCTATTTCCCTTTCGTCCGAGGGGTGCCACCATAAGTGCGTAAACATCTCCGCGTCCTCAAGATCCGGCATATTGTCGCGAGTCAGCGACTTCGCAAACGCCGCAAGCAGCGGCTCGATGCGCTCTCTGCAAGGCTGGACGCGGAACATGTTTACATTGTATTCGGGCCCATCGGTGACTTCGTAATCATACTGACCACGAAGATCCCCGCATTCCTCCTCGTCGATCTCGCGGGGGTAATTTTCAGTGTCTGAGATCTTGTACCCTCCTTGTTCAGAGTCGTGGGGGTCCTCGCCTCGGGGGCCGATGAAGTACCACCGCCCGTCTGGACGCAGGGAATGGAATTCGAGTCTGAAGCGCTGCATTTGTGACCATTGCTGCGGGGTTGGTGCGTCGGGAATGGGGAAGAGGTCGGGAGTGACCATGGCACGAATGTCGAATTTGCTTAGTTGTGTACCGAGTCTGCGCAGACCGATGGAGACTGGGTCTTTGTCTGCGGGGTGGATCAGGTTGGGCCGGGCTATCGACTGGTCGTGCTTGGGGAGTGAGGAGAAAGGGTAGAAGTGCAGTGCGGCTCTTGTCAAGCTGGTGGGGATCCTTTTGCCGCAGAGGTGCTCCTCCTGGTCTATGATGGCAGCGCCGAACTCGTGACGGGCGTCTCGTAAGGGACCTTCCCACGGCCAGGTCCAATGCTCGCGCATCACCTTGCTCGAAAGGGCGGAAGGCATGGGTCTCTCCCATAACCAGCGGGCAGTCCATTCTTGGATAGCTGGCAGGTGGACGAGGCATTGCAGTGGTACGAGGGGAGATAGAGGCCGTATGTCTCTTGCGGTATCGGCGTCGGAGCCGCACGCTGACCTGATGGATAGGCTGCCTATGAAGGGTAGATCTGGTAGTGTCTCCGGGTTGTGCAGCTGTAGCCGGCGCGAGTGGTGTCTGTGGTGGTAGCATACCAGATATTCTAGGTCGTCTGTGTCGTACTTTTGTGTCTCGATTTCGAGACTGAGGGCGATGCTGGCTGGCGGGTCTTCAGCTGCTTTATACGCAGCGGCACTCTGCGAGTAAAGGGTATGGATGCGTGCTGATACGTGGGCGCTGATGGCGAGGGTCTCCTCTGCAGGTTCATGGCATGGTAGTGGTGGGTCTGCTTGTTCATCGACAAGGATGAGCGGTAATGGGAGATCGTATTGCAGAACCCCGTATTTGGCGTTGAGGGCTGCTTTGGTCTGTTCGAAGAGATCACGTTGACAATCGGGGTCCGTCTCCCGGAGCGGCATATTGGTTCATGACTTACTATGCTACTACGATGTTGCGTGATAGGCTCTGCCTAGGCCCCGCCTCTAGTCTCTCCCACCTGCAGGTTGTTAGAGACGCAGACGCACGTGGGGTGCTCCGCACTGCACTTGATCTCACACGTCGCTGCACTCGACTCTGCCACGACTTACGTTCCTCCTGCGGCTTAATGTGCATGACTCGGCCGCCCGTTTGCGTGTCCGGCCCGTTCAGACGGGTAGGCGTCAGTCACTCATAGTAGGCCAGACGGGTAGCCGTGATGACGGGAGTGGTGACGGGAATGGTGACGGGAGTGCGAAGATATAGATAGCAACATGGCTGTTCGGGGCCGGCATCGCACACCATGAGCGCAACACTTGCACCCCCCAGCGTCGACGTTGGCACCCTGTCGCCCGCGCCCGCATCCGCCAAGTCACGTGCCTTCACAGCCACGAAGAAACAGTCCCCAACCGCCCTAGTCTCGCTGCTATCCGGTGCCGTCGCGGGCGGCGTCGAGGCCACAGCAACCTATCCCTTCGAGTTTGCCAAGACGCGCGCCCAACTGCAGGCCGGCAGCGGTGGCTCCAAGAACCCCTTCGCCGTGGTCGCTCACGTCGCACGCACCCATGGCGTCGGCGCCATCTACACAGGCTGCTCCACGCTGATAGTAGGCACCGCCTTCAAAGCTGGCGTGCGCTTCCTCTCCTTCGACTCTATCCGCAACCACCTTGCCGATGAACATGGCGTGCTGTCTCCCGCGCGCGGCGTGCTGGCCGGAATGCTAGCCGGCAGCGTCGAGAGCATCGTCGCCGTTACGCCCACGGAGCGCGTCAAGACGGCCCTGATCGACAACGCGAAGAGCACCAGTGCCGCGCGCTATCGCGGGGGCCTCCACGCCACCCAAATGATCCTCCACACTCACGGCCTGCCTGGCCTGTACCGCGGACTCGTCTCCACCACGATGAAGCAGTCAGCCACCTCTGCCGTCCGTATGGGCTCCTACAATGTCTTGAAGGATGTCGCCCGCCAGAAGAACTTGCCGCAGAATAGCTTCGTCACGTTCGGGCTGGGTGCCATAGCCGGCACCGTTACTGTCTATGCAACACAGCCTTTCGATACCATCAAGACGCGCGCCCAGAGCGCACAAGGCGCGAGTACAATGGAGGCCTTTTGGAGCGTTATGCAACACGCTGGTGTTCGCGGGTTCTGGAGTGGAAGTACCATGCGACTGGGTCGATTGGTCTTCAGTGGCGGCATAGTTTTCACTGTATATGAGAAGCTCGCAGCTCTTATGACTCCGTCATCGTTATAGAGATCGGGTGTTTTTAGTGGCGTTGAATGATATCCTCATGAATTTGGCTTGACTCCATGTCGTCAAGTATTACGATAAATTACTATTACTGCCATCATTGTCTCTATCAAACCGCGTGCCACTGAACCCTAGCCGAAGACTACATGTGACATTATAATCAATCAACTGTGTATAGACGCGCTATGCTGCATAGCTCTAATGGCTTTCAAGAGAGTACATATTTGCGCTGTGTTGTATTGTGATGGTAGATCAAAGTAATCCTGACTGTGCACCATCCGACGTGCTAGGGTGGGGCAGTTTGGGCGCCTTATCTGATCCGACAACCGACGGGCTGGTACAACGTCGTTCATCGCACGTGGTCAACGGCGCATCTTCTGCTCTGCAATCTCCCGCGGCAATGTCATGCGAGGGCGACCTCACGAAAATCGCAGTCTACAGTCCAGCCGCGGGACGGCATGGGCTACACATCCCGCGGCAACGCATGCGGCTTCGACTTACCCGCGGGAAGGAATCTTGGAAGGGCTCGCTTCGAGGCATGGCGTGTCAACAACGCTCCGAGATCCTTCGCGTACCGGCGTCCCCTCGCTCTAGCTTCTTGGAACCAGCCTTAGTTGCCAAACGGGGACTGACAGTGGCGCATATCCACTGCCATGGTTCGCCGTTTCCTGGGGCCCCGCATTCCCCAGGCCTGCTCGCATTCTTAGCCTCCTCTCTAGACCCTTGGTATGCTTGCTAGACGCCTTTGGCAACTGAATCCGTGAGATAGCCCGCGGCCAATCGTGCAAAGGCTTTTCAAATGGCCGATTGTCTATATAACGACGAGGTGGGTGTCGTGAAGATGCATCATCAATTCACAGCTCGGTCATCGACGCACTCGACCCAGCAACATGACGAACACCGACGAGAAGATGACGAGCATCGACGAGAAGATGGCAGGTGCTGAGTTCAAGGAGGTAGCTCCAGAATCTGGACCCATCACACCGCAGCAGATTCAGGCTCGCTTCGAAACATTGAGAGATTTGAGCCAGGAACAAATGGATGCGTTGAACAAGAGACTTGTCAAACGACTTGATTGGAGACTGATGCCATGCATCACACTCATGTTTCTTATGAAGTAAGTTTTTTGAAGCGTGGTCTTGCACCATCGGGCTTACCAAACCTAGCTACCTCGATCGCATCAACGTGTCGAACGCACGTCTGGCTGGGCTACAGAAGGACTTGCACATGAGCGACACTATTTGGAATACGGGTATAGTATGTTCTTCCCACCACCCCAAGCTTACCCCTACACCTACGATGTTGAGAGCTTACGCTAACTTTGTACCTCTACCTACAGTCAACCTTCTACGTCGGCTATCTTGTTGGCCAACTTCCCGGTAACCTATGGCTTGCAAAGGCGGACCCAAGATGGCTTTTACCGTCCATGATGATGGCATGGAGTACAGCCACAATCTGCATGCCGGCCATGACTAGTGGAGCTGGCTTCGCCGTATGTCGCTTCTTCATCGGCTTGTCTGAAGCACCTTTCTTCCCGGGTATCACGCTGAGTATGTTCTCGTACATCAGGCCCATATCCAACGAGCTAGAACTGACACGAAACAGTGACATCGTCGTGGTACACCAAAGAGGAGAACCCCATGCGCATGGCTATCTGGCATGCCGGAAATACCATGTCGAATATCTTGTCTGGGTTCTTGGCTGCCGGTATCTTGACAAACATGGACGAGGTTCTCGGTCTCCACGCTTGGCAATGGTTCTTCATCATCGAGGGCGCTGCATCTATTGTCGTGGCCGCCGGTGCCTACTTCCTGCTTCCATCGTGGCCGCACAACACCAAATGGCTGACCCCAGAAGAGAGCGAAATGGCCATGTACCGCGTTCAAGTGTCCAACGGCGGCCATGACGAGGGCGTCGGCGGCACATGGGATGGTGTCAAAGCCGCAGCCGCAGATCCATTTACCTGGTACTTCTGCTTGATGCACTTCGCCCTCGTAACAGCGCAAAGCTTCAAGGACTTCCTGCCATCGGTACGTCCCCATGTCCAGCACCACTGTGCTACTTATTCCCCGCGTGCTAACCCCAAGAAAACAGATCATGAAGACATTCCACTTCTCCGAACTGACCACCTACCTCGTCCAAGCCCCTCCCTACGCCATCGCCTATGCCTTCGCCTGCGGAATGGCATACACATCCGGCCGCTTCCAAGAATCCTACTACCACATCGTGCTCCCCATCCTCATGTCCGCAGTCGGCTGCGCCGCACTCATCGGCACCCTCAACATCGGCGCCCGCTACGTCGGTCTCATCCTGCTCATCAGCGGCACCTACTCCGGCCTCAACCTGCAATTGAGCTGGGAGACGACGCTTGTCCCCGCGCCTAGGAGCAAGAAGGCGGCGCTCATTGCGATTGCGAATTGCATTAGTCAGACTAGTCATTGGTTTAGCCCGTACTTCTTTCCGACGAGTCAGGAGCCATTTTATCGGTTGGGTGGGGGGTTGATTCTGTTTGGGTGTGCGGCTTGTGTTGTTAGTGCTACGCTGGTTAAGATGAGGGCGAAGAGTTTGAATAGGAGGTTGGATGAGGCGGAGGGGTGGAGTGAGCATACGGGTGTTGAGAGGGGGTGGCGGCATGTGTACTAGTTGGCTGGGGGAGGAAGAGCAGCTGGTCTGAGATGACAGGATGGGGTTTACGAATTTACGAATAGATGTTTCTGTAATTTATCCGCTTCTCGAGTATTTAGTCGCAAAAGCAATAGTTGAACGTACGTACATACTTCGCAGATCAGCAGGCAAGGTTTGCTCTATAAGTCCCCGTACCGACTACATCAATGCTATTGTTGACAACTCTTTTACTAGATATACCGTGGATAGTAATGCCAGTTTCTAGCCCTCCTGGCGACTACAGAACGCGGAGAGGAGGGCATCGCTGCTTCCTCCATTACTAACTGCTTCCCAGCTGCATCCTCCAGAAGCTTCTAGCAACTGATGACGCGGCGGAGGTAGACACGGTATCTCAGGATTATAGATGAAGAACAATGTGATGGATGACCTCGGAAGTGTTGGAGTTACCAAGGTAGTTCTTCGCTTAGTAAGAGAAGTTAGGGCTGACGTCGGGTGGTCAGTGCTTCATGCCACTTCCGTCGCGTCTGACATCGTGACCCCCTGCACACACACGACACCACGAAGCTTGTTGCTCATCCACAAGGATGCTAATCGAGAGACGTACGAATCCTTCTTGCCACTACGCCGCATGCATCCGCACGCCGCGCACTTTGGGCACTGGAATGTCTGAGTTAGCATCGGCACTTTCCTGTGGTAACGAGAGAAGCATCGCTGTCAGCCCGTGCTCACAGCACGGATGCCGCCGGTAGCGCACATCCGTTGCTGCCTTCTGGTCTTCTAATCTCAGCTCTGCTCCCTCCGGACGAACCACAAGCCCCAGCCGTCCTGTGACCGCGAAGCCATGTGCTCTGGTGAGACATCACCAGGATCACAGCAGGCGTCCCTGGACTGTCATTCGGTAGCCAAGAAGTATACCTGGACGTAAACTACGAGGCTTTGCTCTGTGGCTTCGTGTCTGCCGTCCTCCTCCTTGCTCGTATGCGGGTGTCTGCGGCCGGTGGAAGAGTATCACGGCACCAATGAGACTGTTTCCCACTACTATCTTTGATGATTTGACAACGCTGATCAGCT